TTCTGCTGGAGGTTTCTTCCTGTTAAAAGGGAGTTTTTCCTTCCCACTGTCGCCAAAGTGCTGCTCATAGGGGGTCATATGATTGTTGGGGTTTTCTCTGTATGTATTCTTGTAGGGTCGACCTTACAGTATAAATCGCCTTGAGGCGACTGCTGTTGTGATTTGGCGCTGTATGAATAAAACTACTCAAAATATTTTTATTGAGTGATTTTGGATACAGTTTATGAAGAAAAAAAGAGGGAAACAAAAACTTGTTACACTAAATACAAAACAGAACTTCTCATGTTGGAACAAACAAACAAAAAAAGGAAAACAAACAAACAAACAAAAATTAACAACCCAGGATGGGCGACTGATACTAACAAAGCCTTTCCTTACAAACCACACAGAAGTTAGCTCAGGACCACTGAGCTTCACATTCCCATTAACACACACACACATCGGACCTGCTGCTGACACTTTGGTGCAAATCTGTGAGTCAGCAGGAACATCCTTAAATTGTAGGTTAGAGAGGTTTGTTAGAAAAAGACGCCAGATTTTGCCAAATATGCCGTTTTGTTTCTGGATGGAGCAGGGGATCTTCTCAAGACTGAGACATGACATGAGATCAGCAAGCCACTGAACATGGATGGGCGGGGCAGCTCATCAAAATAGCAGGCCTAGCCAGGAGGGAGCCAAAGGACAGTACCCGACGTTTTGCCCAGCTGTATAAATAAAACTTAACTGAAACAGAAACGGTTCAGGAGCAGTTTGAGGTGCAGAGTCCCCAGATCTCAGTCCAGTGGAGCATCTGTGGGATGTGCTGGACACAGTCCAATCCACGGAGGCCCACCTCACAGCTGCTGCTGACACGTTGGTGCAGATACCACAGCACGCCCGGTCGAGCGGAGGCCACGCCTCGAAGGGTCAGGGGGGCCGACACAGTATTAGGCAGGAGGTCAAAATGTTATGTCTGGCTGGTGTAAATTACTTCTTGAAGTTAATTCATTGGACGCTAAAAGCCCTTCAAGTCTTCTAATTAAGAAGTAGCTCTGAATGTGACGATTGAAAGAACTAAATCTGCAGATTATAGAAAGGTGTTTCCAGCCATTAGCAGTCTTGACCAAGTGGTCTTTAAAAGTGGTTTAAGAGTGCTATATTTACGCAGTGGTTAGTGATACTGGCTCATGGCAGGAAGTTCCTGGGTTTGAATGCTCTTGCCAGTTGCGTCCTTTCTGTGTGGGCATTGCCTGCTCTATGGGAGAGCGTTTGAACCACACATCACTTCTCAGCACATTTATTCCAGAAGCTGTGCCAAGCCCCCTGTATGACTAACAGTGGAGCCAGAATCAGGCCAGGTTAGACCCAGATGATGATAGATGTTCTCCTCATCGATGACGTCCATTTTCATGTCCGTGTGGGATCATTTTGACCACCTGGGCCTTTCTGTGTATTCATTGGTCACTGCTGTCGTAAAAGAAAAGCATTCATAGTTTGCCGTGAGTCATTTTTCAGTCCTGCATTCTGAATGCTTCATTATTACTTTTTGAAAATATGCAGCTTGTTTTTGAAATCAGGGACGGTCTCGTTGACGTCCTGTGCATCTGAGGAAACGTTTCCTGCGTCATCCTGGTCACACTTGTTATTTAAAGCCAGGATACAAGGTCCCAGTGACCCACGAAGAAATACAGAGATGGGACTGATTATACCGAATATGTTTTAATGTTTTCCAAGTTGAATTTTATCCTAGAATATTATAGGCCGGATGACAGTTTGATTAAATCAGCTTCTACCAGGTAGTACAAGCTCATCTTGACAGAGTTTGAAGTCTCAAAATCTGACTGTTCCCTAGCAACCCAGACAGAAATAACTCTATTGTCAGATATGTCCGTATGAACACACACAGTCTTTGGGCGAGGGTCAACATTTGATGATGGTTTAGCTTCTCGTGATCTCATGATTCACCATGATCGTGGAAGTCCTGGACGCCTCTGTGACTACAAGCAGCAACTGTGTGTTCCCTGATTGGTTAGCAGGTTGATGGAGCTCGCTGGCTGTTGCTTCACGAAAGCTTCAACGTTCAAGTTTAGAGACGGCAGCTTTGCTTCGTCCTGCATCTTGGAGCTACAAACCCCCATCCTGAGGGAAGAAGCTGAGGATGGAACCATGATAAAGCCATCCATCGTACCTGTTTAGAGCACAGAGAGGCCAAACAGGGCTGTGACTCACCTATCGGACGACTGGACCACCTCACTGTCTGCATCCTTGAAAGAGTGTCACCTCCACAGGACAAGACTCAGCAGTCCATCTGCATCTAAAGGTCAAAGGTCACTCTTTTGAGGATGCCAATGTTCACATTTTGGACAGAGAGGACAGATGGTTTGAAAGAGGAGTGAAAGAAGCATCTATGTCCACTGTGAGCGACCATCTTTGAACAGAGGCGGTGGTTTACGACACCAACTGTCTGCCATCTATAATCCAGTTTTGAGTTCCCTTCCCAGACGCCTTAACGCCCACTCACATCCTGGGCCATCTGACCTCAGGAAATCACATGATAAGGTGGGGCCAGGTTTCACAATGAGCTCACCTGAAACTCTGGCTGATTGGGACCCACACCCAGTTCCACACCTTGGCTCAGGCGATTAGAGGATCATCAGGGGGTCCTTTTGTCCCTCTGTGGGGGGACACTCCCACTAGGTTTATATCTGGGACTCTCCACCATTTGACCTTAGAACTGAAGAAGCTTCTCGGATGAAGGTGAAACGTCTTCAAGTAACTTAAAGAAGTCCAGACGCTTTTCTTTGCAAGCTCCTTTGACTACGATGACCTGGATGACTGAGAACCTTCACAGACCTGCTTCTGTGAGGTTTTCTCTGTGACAGAGGTCTGACTGAACCATACCAGCAAACAAAAGATAAAACAAAGTTAAAATTGTTCAGTCGATGTGGAAATGAACAGTTTTCCCTTTTTGCAAACCGATTTGCAATTCTCATTAAAATTCAGTTTCTCATTGATTATGGTCCCAAGATATTTACATTTACTCTGTTTTCTGACCTTTAATTAAATTGATTCCGTGCCTGTAATCATTCACAAAGAGGAAAATGCTAATTTGCTAATTTGTCTGCAAACACAAAGCAGTGGTGAAAGTGTGAAAAATGTGCCAGAAACCAGAAAAACAAGTTTTTGAAGGCTGCAACACTAAAACACAATGTTTAAGGTTTACATTAATGTTCTCACTTCCTGTTTTAGGAGCTAGCTGTCTTAGGCTAGCTTGTTTGCTTGCTAATCACCTGTGGGTAAGAACTGGGGGGGTCCAGATTTTGCCGTGACGAACTGCTTCACTGTTTGCTGTTTCTGATTTCGCCGGCTGTCCATCCATGGACGGGAACAACGACAGGAGCAGATGAGGCCTTGAGGCGCTCGGGTGCAGAGTCTCCACACAGAAGTCAGTCAGCAGGCTGTTAGGGAGACCTGAGGGAGCCGGGGGACGCCTCCGTTTTAATTACGTTGCAGTGCAGTCAGACATTGGCTGAGAAAAAAATGACCAAATGTTAATTTAACGACTTTCAGAAGCACACAAACAGACTTTGGTTGAGCTTCTGGCTCTAAACTGTCCATCGTTGGAAAATATTGTTTGGCATGTAAATTATAATTAGACTGAACGTCCTCGCTGTTGGTCGGACACATAATCCAGCCTGACTTTGTCCTGCAGCTGTCTTTGTTTCAGCCTCTTCTCTCTCTTTGTGCTTGTTGCGTGTGCAGGAGGTGGGCTGCGATCGGCAGCTGGCCAGCGGTGCCAGAGAGGATAACTGCGGCGTTTGCGGCGGCGACGGCTCCACGTGCCGCCTGGTGCGAGGACAGGCCCTACCCCACCTGACCCCCGAACAGTGTAGGTATCAGACGGCCTGTCGTGTTTCATGCTCTGCGAGCTAGTTGTCAGCGCTTTAATACCAGAATACTCTTTGCACATCTTTCTGAGTGTTATTAAGTCTGTCACCTTCCTGCAAACGGCTCAGTCTGAGCTTTCTGGGTCATTTTAGAGAATAAACCATCAGCTCAGGCCTAATGTCTCCCTGCTGGTTCCAGAAATGTAGACAAAGCGTGGTCTGTGTCTGTGCCCGGGCTGCCTCCCAGTCAGGCTCGGTGGGAAATGCATTGTGGGTATCACCTGGCTTGACTTGACTGGTCAGTTGAGCCGTCCTGGCTTCTGCCTCCTCTTCTCTTTGCCTGCAGCCTCTATTTATTCATCAGGGCTGGCATTAAAATGCCATCTGGCTTCTGCAGCCTACACTCTACCCAGCAACAAAGAAAACCCAGTGGCACATAGAGTCCAGCATTAAATGTGAAGATTTAATCAATGTCATCTTAAAACAACAGAAGAGCATCGATCGTTGAGTCTGTCTGGAGAGATTAGCTGGAAAATGACTGACGAGTGCATCGGTATTCATTGCCGGCTGTGGATTTCGGGAATATTGCTAAACAAACAAACCAGCTGGCTGACCAATAAATACATAAATACGTAATGTTCACCTCTCAGCAGTTTGCTTTGAGAGAAACGTGACGCTGGAGCAAATCTGAACAGAGACGTCTGCCAGGTAGTGCTCGCTCCTGACTGAGCGGAGCTGCCAGCAGAACAAATAACAACTTTACAACACTGTAAATGTGAAAACGCACTTCAAATGTTTCCAGCTTCTCGGCTTTTTCCCCAGGTTTTAACAGCTTCATGAAGTCGCTGCTGGCAGCAAACACGCATACCGGAGTTGTTGGCCCTGGGTCGTGTATGTATATCAAATGTTTCAAATGAAGTAGCGCTGGCGTGCCTCGCAGAGTGGAAATGAATATGGCTGGTATTAAAACTCACAGCCAGTGACCGTGTAAATATTTCTGTGGCTTTTAACGTGTGGAATGTATTTAGAGAAGGCCGGGTGTGTCCGCGCTGCGGAGGTGGAGTTTTATACAGACGTAAGAGTTCAGCAACTGTGGGGTAAATGAGTTTGTTTGAGAAACGCAGAACGTAGAGACGAGGCTCATCGTGACCCGATTAGGGAGTCTGGACGTTTAGGAGCATGTTTAAAATCTCCTGAGACGTGAACGTCTAGGGGCGATCGTGGCTCAAGAGTTGGGAGTTCGTCCTGTAATTGGAAGGTCGCCGGTTTGAGCCCCGGCTCCGACAGTCTCGGTCGTTGTGTCCTTGGGCAAGACGCTTCACCCGTTGCCTACTGGTGGTGGTCAGAGGGCCCGGTGGCGCCAGTGTCCGGCAGCCTCGCCTCTGTCAGTGCGCCCCAGGGTGGCTGTGGCTACAATGTAGCTGCCATCACCAGTGTGTGAATGTGTGTGTGAATGGGTGGATGACTGGATAGGGACTAGTAAAGCGCTATATAAATACAGGCCATTTACCAACGTCATTACCTGTCTTTGTAGGAAACCACAAAGACACAAAAATAAGTTGAATAAAACTTCAAACATGTACGTGAATCTAAATGTAATTACTTTTTATTTATTTATTTGTTAACCTTTATTTAACCAGGAAAATCCCACTGAGATTAAAAACCTCTTTTTCAAGGGAGACCTGACCAAGACAGGCAGCAGGTGTCTCACAGTTACAGAAATCTCTCAAACACAGGCAGCAACAACACACATGCAACAATAAGTGAAAGAATACAAATAAAATTCAAATAAAAATAAATAAATAAATAAATAAATCAGTTAAAATGACAATCAATCTAATTGAAACAGTTGCATGTTATGGACTTGGCCTCAAGGATTCGTAGTTTAGATTTAAAAGCACTTAATGAAATAAATTCAGTCATTTTCCTTCTGCAGTTTGATCCGAGCCGAGGGGGCTAAATGGACAAAAGCTCTTTTACCAGGTTCAGTTCGGGCAAATGGAGCAGAAAGCAACAAGTAACCATGCGGACGAAGAGAACGATCAGCATGTTTCATTACAAGCAGGGAGCATAGATAAGAAGCAGCAACCCAAGTATCGCCTTATATATAAAACTGTATAGATGGTAGTCCTCAGTCCTACCTGAGAGTATAACTCACAGTGGTGAGTCTGTCACTTTAATTTCATCTTTAATGATACAAAATAACCAATCACAGCTGATTATTGTTGGTCAAAGTGAAACTGTTGCCACTTCTGATCATTTTGAAACATTTGTTCTTATTTTTGGAACAAAGGATGAAAATGTAGCCGCAGGTCTGCTGTCTTTGTTTCTGCACAGCTGCACGAAGCGTCCATGCGGCCTTTTTCATTCCCTTATTACAGCCGCGAGGCCTCAAGGTGTGTGTGTGTGTGTGTGTGTGTGTGTGTGTGTGTGTGTCAGAAGCTTCGCCCGTACCAAACTCTCTTCTGCCAACTTTAGAGTTAAATCAGTGGAAAAACTAAACAAGAACATAAATGTGTTTCATAAGAGGTTTGATGTGCAGCTGTACGGACGTCCACCTAAAACTTTCTCTCTCGTTAAGCGCTGAGTCCACAGCCAATAGCTTATTTCCTCTAATGGGCACAAAGATGTGGTATTGTTGGAGGTCAGCAGCGTCATGTTGTCTGTGTCCTCGTCTGATCTTCGTCCAAAGATGTGTCCATGTTGTTTCAGTGCTAACCACAGGACGCCTGTCGATCAGTGTGCGCTGCCGTTACGCTGCCCCGAGTTTATTCACAGTGGAAACAAAACTCTTTAAACTATTTTAAACACATCTCAGTTTCAATTCCATTCAAAAATCATGTTATTTTTATTTACTTTTATTTTATTTACATCTTTAGAAGTTGGACAGGTCCACGTCCTCTTTAACCTTTAACCTTTAGCCTGTGATGGTCTGTGAGCTGAGCAGCTGCTGGACTTCGTCCCGTCCTGGTCTGATGGCGCTCTCTAGCTTCTCTGCCTCGTCCTGTTTCACAATGTCTGATGAACTCTGACCTCAGATCAGTTTCCACTTTGCTCGGTGGATTTTAAAGGAGCTTCGGAGGAGGCGGTCGCATCTGTCTTCTTCTCT